CATCCTGAAACACAGGCTCTGAAGCAAGCCAAACAACAACTTCGACTCTTAAAATGCCTCTTTGCTAAAATCACAGTTTCCCAATGTTGTCACCACCCTGTGCCCAAGGACAATCCCCAGACCCTGGTTTCTGGACAATGTTCAACCCTTTTCTTATCTTGTCTTAACCTGGCCAAAGCAAAGCAATTAACAACTTCTTTGCTCACTCTGGAGCATGCGGCTAATTCTACAAGCAGATGTTTTCCCTTGAGCTGCCCTTTAGTGTATGTGCTGTGGGTAATGCTGGGCAACAGTGTAATTGAATTATTCAAGTCCAAATGAACTATACTCCACCACCTCTGTAAGCGCAGACAGAAGATGGGAATGCTAGGCAGCTTCCAAGCCACCAGTCCTCCTGCCTTGGTTTCAGCCCAGCCAATAACTCAGAACCACACAGCCGCTCCCTCACTCCCCCCTTTTCTTCCTCCCCCGCTAACGGAGGGATGAGGAGGAGAATGTAACTCCCATGGGCTGAGATAAGCACAGTCCAGTAACTAAAGTATAACACAGATCACTACTGCTACCACCAATAATAATACTGATAAGGGAAATAACAAGGGAAGAGAATACAACTGCTCACCACCTGCCGACCAATACCCAGGCCGACCCGAGCAGCCCTTGGGGTAACTGCCCCCAGTTTATATACTGGGCATGATATGCTTGGTATAGAATACCTCTTTGGCTAGTTTGGGTCAGGTGTCCTGTCTCTGCTTCCTTCCAGCTTCCCCTCCTCCGTGGCAGAGCATGAGACTCATAAAGTCCTTGGTCAGAGTAAACATTACTGAGCAGTAACTAAAAACATTGCTGTTAATCAGTGCTGTTCCCAGGCTGAAAGTCAAAACCACAGCACTGCACCAGCTACTAAGAAGGAGAAAAATGGCTGCTACTGCTGAACCCAGGACACCTCCTCAAGCAGTCTTGCTCAGATATGTATCAAAAAGGTTGGAAAGAGTGTTAAAGGAGGTGAAGTTTTTTACAATAAAATAATCATATAAAATAGTAGAAATTATTATATTTGAAAAATTTATAAATCAATAGTGAGGTTTTGTATATTAGAAAATGTTGTAACTTTGCAATTTTGTATTACGGTTGTTCTGTAACCAGTGTTGCAATGATATGTGTATGGGTGGATTTTAAAAGGTATGTACTGGAGACTATACCCAAATGGAACCTATGCATAAGGTAGCCAGAAGAGCATACCAGAAGCTGATAAGAAAATGCTAGCGTCCACACAAGGGTTGGGATATATCCAAGTAAGGAAAAGGTCCTGAGGAAGACTTCTTACTTCATCTGAGGAAGACTCCTTACTTCATCAGGACGACCACCAGAGGGGGCGGCGCAAGCGCAGAAGAGGCTGATGTCGTAATAAATTGATGTAGCAATCTTTGATGCATATGTATTAGTCAATGATGTAATCTGTGTTGAATATGTATTAGTTACGAAATTTTTAGTGTATAAATTGCGAACGCGATGTGACGGGAATCGGAACCAGATTTGGGTGCATACCCCTGGTTCCCGGCGCCTCAATAAAGCACCTCATGTAACCATCCCGGTGGTTATGTGTTTGTCTCGACGCTAACAAGAGGAGTACCAATAACCAATTTTAATGAAAGCACAGGAAAAAGCCAAATGGATCAGAGCATCCTCTGGCAGAGAAGTTGTACCCTGGAGTGAAATCGTCATGGAAGATACATGAGCAGCACGGAGTACAGAGCAGCAGTGGCACACAGGATATAATTGTTTTTCTTAACAGCTTGCAGCACAGAGAATTAGCAACAGGCCAAAGTTGGGCTGGGTCCTTCCCCACCTGGCTAGCGCAGCTCTCGGGATGTGCTGCAGCTGTATGAAATAAGCTTGTCGATTTACAGCTCTGCTCTGGTAAGGAGGGGCATGAGCCGTGAGTCTGCATTTCTCTTCTGGATGCAGCCTGCACAGTGACCTGTGGCTGAGCAAGGGCTCTGGTGTTGGACTGCCACCTCCCTCTCTCTTCACCAGGAGTCTGCAGAGCTGTTGCTGTCACATATTCCCACTCCTCTCTCCAGCTGAGGTTGCTCCTGTGCATTAACTTTTCCCTCTCCTTAAACATGTTATTCCAGAGGTGCTACCACCATTGCTGAGGGGCTCAGCCTTGGGCAGCAGCAGCTCTATCTTGGAGAGAGGTGGCATCGACTCTGTTGGCCACCGTGGAAGCTTCTAGGAACTTCTCACAGATGCCACTCTGTGGCCCCCCGGTACCAAAACCTTGCCACACATACCCAATACAGTTGGTTATAAATCAGGAGTGTTACATGAAGCCTGATGTTCCGTGATCTTTCCCATCAGTCTTTTTGAATGGAAATTAATAATTATATAGGAAACTGCTCTAGAGTAATTAGTGTTCACCTTCTCGTTCTTCCTTCCCTTTTCTTCTAAGGATATCCAAGTTAGAGTCATTTATGGGAAATAGTAAGCAAAAGAAAACATGCAGTTAATTTCTCCTTACAGAGATGAGAGCTGTGCTGGGGGATGTTACAAGCAGCTACTGCCTCCAGCAGCTCCAGGGCCCAGGGTTCCTCCAGCCTGGCTGCTGGAGCCCAGCTTGTTGTGCCCATTCCAGGCTAATGGATGTGGCCACTGTTTTCCTGTTTGCAGGCATAGGACACCAATGGGGATGGCTACACAGATGACCACAAGCATGGTGCTGCCTTCAGGTGGACTTGTAGAAGACTTAAGTACACACCAGCCAGTCCAGCTTGACCTTGGCACGTGAATACCACACACACCTCACCAGTTTGGGGCAGGTACAAACTCACACTGCCCAGCAGCCAGCCCCAGGCACACAGGCTATGTGTGACCTGTAGTCCCACTCCAGACGCTGGCACTGAGTCCTTTGCTTGCCTCACACCAATGCCCGAGTAGCTGGCCCTTACTCCTTGCAGCCGTTGTCCATCCATCCCCCACCCACTCTGTGGAGAGTGAGACTGCACAGAGGGATAGTTAAGAAAGGTTTTATAAGAAGAGAGGGTGATCAAACACAGGGCTCCATCAAACAAGTGCACTTTACATGCAACTGACCCCTTTTATACCTCTTTCTGTCTGATTCTCTCCCTTGCTCCTTCCCCATTCTTTTCCTCTTATCATTCCTCCCTAAGTTTTGTACCCTTCAAATATCTCCAATCCTCATGTTCCTCTTGTTTGACCCTTCTTATCAGTCAAAAATTCCAGGTGACACTCTCCAAAGCTGCGCCTGGAGCACTTCAATGGCCCATCAATCAGTAACCAGAGACTTTTGGTCTTTGGCATTGTCTCAATTGTCACCTGTCCAACAGATTTGCTCTGTGTATTCTTGTTTATCGCATCCCCCTTTGCCTACTATCCCCTTTGTTTTGAAAAGATCAGTTCCTTGGTCAGATAACCTTCATGAAGCACATTCTTTTACCTTCTGTGCACACTTACAAGGTGAATATACAAGGATTTAGTCTCTGACTTACTTACTTTCTGGTGTTACAGGACAAGGTCTCTCAAGGTTACCAGTGAGATAATCCAGACCACATTGTTTGGGATTTTCCTTTGGTCTCTTGAATATTTGCTTTGCCAATGTGGATGTTTCATTTTACTAGAATTTTATTGTCATTTTTGAATATGAATCTTAAAAATACAATATTTGGCTTATGCACACAATCTAGTCAAAATCGTAAATTCAGTGCCAAATGGCTTTTCTTTTTATGCACAAAAAAGAACCCAAACAACCCTGAAAGTTTTATAAGGACAAGCCAAGAAGAAAGGTTATGTAAAGTTCCTACTTAAAGTATTTTTAATTTAATTTACTATAGTGGCTTTATGTGTAGGGATAAGGCATAGTTAAAAATGCTCCTCTGTGCCAAATTAGCTTTTATCTTGGAGTTCCTGTTCTGTGCAGATGTATATATGAAGCAACGAAGAGCCCCAAAGCAACCATATAGGGAAATATTTGAGTAATTTCAATGTTATATTTTGATGATAAACTCTGGGATTTGGTAGGAAGCCAAGATAAGACGGCAGTAAATAAATTACTCTTAGGGTCAGGCTGGGCATACAGATTTCCTGGGAGAATTTTTTTTGTTATTTCCTCTAGAGAACGCTACAAGTCTCAGATAAATAAAGTATGAAAAAAGTCAGCTGCTTGGGAGGAAGTTTAGCTTCTACCCACACACATCAGTGCTGGAACACACTGGAGAGTCCTTCTCCCAGTGCTGTTTCCCCACCTCCATCAGAGCAGTATCTGCATGTAGTAACAATGAGATTATTGTTAACTTATCAGTTACATGAGGCAACTCCAGCCTCCTTAATAGCTGCAACTTTGGGAATGGATTGGGAAGGCACTATGAAAGACAATAAATCACAGAATCATAAAACGCCAGGTTGGAAGGGATCTCAAGGTGGTCCAACTTTTCTAGGCAAAGCACGACCTAGACTAGATGTCCCAGCACCCTGTCCAGATGAATCTAAAGGTGCCCGCAGCTCATGACTTCAGACTATGGGGCAAATCCAAAGCATTCCATGATCTCCTCCAGTATTACCTTTCTTTCTAGTGAAATGGAGTGTTATTTCTGTTGATTTGCCAGTCGAGTTGTCAGATGAGCTAGAAGCTTTCCTAAGGAAGCACTCTCTGGGTCCACCCTCACCACAGTAACTCCAGGCCCAGCGGTGCCTGGGAAGTGCGGCAGGACACCGGGAGAACTGCGCTACGCCACTACCGCGCCATGCCGGGCACAGGCAGGCCCGGCTGTCCGCTCCCTCAGCTCTGTGTGTTAAATTCCTTCCGTGCTTTGCTGTGACTGCTCCAGCGCTCTGGGGCCGGTGCCCCTGCTGCCACAACAGGATTTGGAGGCAGCACCACCCCTGGCCCTGCGAACCCCCCCACCCGCGAAGCCTCCGCCCGCCACCACAGCCTGCACCGGGTCCCTCTGCTGTCGGCCCCGCCCGCTGGGAGGGGCGGCCCCAGCCCGGCCTGGCTCCGGCCCTGCGCCGGTCCCGCCTCCGCGGAGCCGCGCGGTGTGGGGCGCGTAGCGGCGCAGAGTCCCGACTTGCCGCGGAGATGCAGAGCTCGGCCTGGACGCGCTTCTACTCCAACAGCTGCTGTCTCTGCTGCCATGTCCGCACCGGCACCATCATCCTCGGAGTATGGTACCTGGTAAGCGCCCCCTTCGGCTGTGCCCGTCCCATGGGGGTCCCCTCTCGGCGCCGGCGGCAGCCTCCGGTGCTGCTCCGCGGGGCAGCTACGCGAGGGAGCGCCCTCGCTTCCGCGCTGCTGTCCCACGGGTGTCCCCCGGCGAGGTGTTCGGCCTCTGCCCGAACTGGGAAACGAGCGGTGCGTGTGGTTAATGGCCAGGGGAGAGGGGCAGGAGACAGAGCGCCGGCAGGCTCACCAGGGTGTCATGCGAATTGCTCTTTAGGGGAGGAAAATGTAAGGAATGGAGATCCCCGGAGAGAGGGGTTTCCCCCCAAACTTCGGAGCGGTGTTTGTCGACCGCAGCGCTGAGCCCCCGCTGCTGCGTGAGCCCCAGCAAGGCTGCCCGGACCCTGACCACGCTGCGCAGAAAATGTTGGTTTCTCATTTCTGACCGCTGCTTCTTGAAGTTGGGTGTTCTCGTCATTGCTGTCCCTTGGTTGTCAGCTAACTGCTTGTCAGTAGTATCTTGGTCTGTCTGGCAGGGAGCTCTCAAACCTTCCAGGCCGCTGCTATTGGGTACTAGAAAGACTTCTTTCCTCTGGCAGGGTTATAGGACATGAGTGAGGAATGGACCCTTGAGGCGCAGTTTCAATGTGTTACCATCGAGCCCAGGGGTTGCTCGACAACCCTGTTATTCAGCCAGGGCAAAGACTCGGTGCAGAGAAGGCACATTAAGCCCTTGATTCTTCTCCTGTCTTTGACAATCATTCCTCAATCCCTTGGGTGGCAATGCAGGAAAAGCAGCTTTCCCAGAGCCGGCCCTGCCATAGTCACAGGATTTGCAAGTGTGTCATGACAATAAAAAGAGTGGGTTCATAGCTGTGGGTTATGTCGATGCACTTCTCAGCCTGCTCAGTCTCTTGGTATGGGAAATCAGTCTCCCTCTGACAGCAAAGGCCCTGCAGAGCTGTTTGCCAAGCATCATTTTTCAAACAACTGCAGATGGAAGCAGATTAGACCCGGGTTTATTTGCTAACTATTGAAATTCCCTTCAGAAGCAAGTGAAAAACGCAGGGCTGCCCTCCATTGTAGGACAGCTCATTAAATAAATTCAATCAGTGTAATAAAAAGGTTAGGTTGACATTTATGTCCTAGACATCATATAAAATCTTCCATGTCCTATAAAATACATCTTTCACCACTGAGAAAATGGTGCATTAGTTGAACGATTTCTTCCTCCTGGTTTAATAAAACAGGAGTTAGATGCAGTATCCACAGCCTGTGGTATCTGGTATCAAAAAAGACGCCCCTCTTTGCCTGGCTGCAGTGAAGTTTCAGTGAGTTTTAATACGACCTGAAAGGTTTTGAACATTTCTTCTAGGATGCTTATTATTTCTTTCTGCCTTCAGCTGAATGAAGCCCTTTCACGTTGGCTCCACAAAGGCAGGGATACAGATAATTCAGCTGTTCAGTGGACCTAAAGATATTTGAGAAGAGGGAAGTGCATCAGCTGGCCTTAGATAAAAAGAAGAGACTGACAGCTTTTTAGACTTCGTTACCTATTGCATTACTAACATTTAAATACCAGTGCCCAACTTGACACAGTATTTTTCTGCAAAATCTTCTTTTAAATTCTCTAGCTAGCAGGTATTTCCTGATTTACACCTCTTCCTACTTGGCTTCTTTTGCTTTCATAACTTCTTCAGGGCGGATTTCCCAATGACTTCAAACTGGCAATAACTCATAACACGTCAAGGTGCATGTTGCTTTCTGCACTTTCTCTGCAATTACAAATGTTTAGATTTTCGAAGTTAACTATTAAGAATAGAAACTTAGATGCATATTGATAACAAAGGCTGAGTCTTTTTGCCAGCTGACAGAGTTAGGAAGCAGTAAGGAAGGGATGAGGGATAAGCAGTAAGGAAGGGATAGCTACTTGTGTAAATAGCTCCCCTGGCTGAAAGGATTGGTTTACAAAATCACATACAAAAATATTGCTTTATCTCAGAAGAGCAATTACAATTTGATGCCATGTTCCATCAAGGGTTTACATAGAAATAGATGCCATTTTTTGCCTGCATTTTGGGTGGTTCTCTTGCCCCAAACCACATGTGAGCTATGAACATTGCCTCAAATAAAGTTCAAACAAAAACCCCTTTGATTTTTCACCATGCATACGTGTATTCTTTATACTGTTTGACATTATGCTTTACAGGAAATTACTTGAGGAAAAAACATCCCTCTAAGAGAATGAATAGTTTTGGCAGCCTTTTAAAATAACATTTTCACACGTTGATCATTTTAGTATAATTTCAGGAGGCAGAATTTCATGTCTGAGTAAATGTGGAAAAAAATAGTGCATCTCTCCAGGATGGTATTTTAGCTCTTTAGTTTTAACGTTTTAATTGGATGTTTGGGATCCTACAAATAGTGGAGAGAGTGGAGAGCTGAGTGCAGGGCTGCATGATGAGAGCACTTTCCCTCACAGGTAAGGGGAAGGAACACTGTGTGCACTTCCAGCACAGACCCAGCAGCTATGGACACTTACAATGGTCCTGTAAAGTATCAGTAGCTGGGAAATAAATATTTAACTTTGCTCTGTTTTAGAACATAATGGACCTCAGAATGCTAATGTTTCTATAGCTATTGTGATTCAGTAGTTTCTTCTTGGTAGAGCCATAGCTACTCCATCTAGAATATTATCATTCAATACAGCATTGGATGATATTGCAATGTGGTATGCCAGAATACAACGTACATGTTCTCACCGAGCACTGAGGTACTTCAGTGTCAAAAGTAACTTGCAAAGGGTGGGGAAGCCACAGGAAATTTCCTGAAAAGAATATCTCATCAGGTTGCAGGACAGCCCGCACTTCAGGAACTTGTGTGCTGCCTTGGGGAGGAAGGCTTAGAAGGGGGTGCTATAATGCTGAATGCAAATGTTATGCTGAAGGTTAAAATAGCAGTAATAAGGCTGGCTGGGGTAATATTTATTTCAAACCCTGAGGACCAGTTTGGTTTGGCTGGTTGTTTTACTTTGGTCTGTAGCCCATTGGCATAGACTGTAATGTATTAGAACATGAAATCAAAGGTCTCAAGTAATAACAGAGAAGGCACAAAAGTCTTACAAATGTCATATTGTTAAAAAAAAGCCAAAACTGGAAAATTAGAAAGTCACTTCCAGCAGCTTAGGTTTTGTTCCAGACAGTTGTATCAGCGTGCTGTTCCAGGCAGGGACACCACTGAAATGAGCCAGCTTCAGTTCTGATCTCCCCTGGGTGCCACAGTACAGGAGAAAGCCAGCATTTTTGTCAGTTCCAAGTGACCCAGTCAGTACTGGTGAGTCAGAGCTACATCCCCATCGGTAACGGCATTTATAAACACAGCATGTCTTCTTCCTGAGGAAACGGGCTCCGCTCTCTTTATCTAAAATACAAAGAAGGAACAATGCCAGACATGCTGGCAGTGTTATGGAAGGATTTCCCACTCTCCTGACACATGGCAGTTATGCGCAACCCAAGACCCCACCAGCACCACCTGGGGTAATGGGAATTATATGCCATTGACTTGGGTGGGAAGAAGATGAAACTTTAAGACATCAGCTCAGAAAAAAAACCCAGATGTTACAAGAAGGAGCTTTCATTTTGAGCTCTATGTGCCCACTGCTGCTGGCTTCAGCAGTGCCCTGGGCAGGGGCTGCTCCTGCTCTGGTGCCCCAGGAGCATGGCAGGAGCCACAGGAGCTGTGCAGCCCCACTGCCTTCCCCAGGGCCCTGGCAGTCAGGGGCTAAAAATAAAACCCTAATGGAAGGCCGAGAATATAACCATGCGTTACTGCATCGTGCAGCTCCCTTGGAAGGACGTGTGGTAAGAAGGGAAGTGGAGTGAGCCGCAGCTCTTAGCCAGGGCAGCTTTAGTGTTTGAGCTGCTATTTGTGGGCAGCTCATCATCAATTGCTAGTAGTGGCATGCCAGTTCTGGGTTTCTCTGAACATACAGTTGAAAGCACGCATAATCTCTACCTGCATCCCAGGCAATTTTTAATAGGAGAATTGAATCCTAATGGATGAAAAAATGTGCTGTCTATAATGTAAAGTGAAGGAAAAGCACTGTTTGCTGTGGCCTCATTGATTCACAGGTTGAACACCTTGCTGAGATCAGTAGAGTACACTTGACCCGATGTCAGAAAAAGACTCAGAGTATATCTTTTGCAACTTATTTACCTATTTCAGGCCCCGTGCAAAGCAGCATTATGGCAATGTGCTTAAATACCAGTTAGAAGATTGCTGAAATACTGGCTTACTTGGCAGGGAGTAGAGATCAGCTCATGTAAGGAAAATACACCTACACTGGGGTCCTTCCAAGCTGCTCTGTCCCTCTTTCTGCAACCTTTGCACTGTCTGAGACAGCTCACATCAGGAAGGAGCTGTAAGTGGAGGACCCGTGAACAGGGGGGAAAGGCCCTTTCAGGGAAAACAAAGAAATTCTAAGAAAAGATGAAGTTATTACTTACTTTCAGACATGTGAGAATTGGGAGATTTTGAAAAATTAAAAAAGACCTTAAATTGTGAAAAGGGAGAAATTGCAGCATAAGAAAGCCTGATGTTAGAGGGAATTGGAAACTTTGTTATCTGAGAGCCAGGTTGCGGGAATTTGCATGAACACGAGTATGAGGCCTTGTGTTTTACTTAGAAAATTAGTTTTCTTTGCTTTTATATAGAATGAAACGGGCTAAGAATAAAGGATCTCCAACTTTATCTCCATATGAATGATCATAGTATATCAGCCAGCTCACTGAAGGCTCTGCAGTGACTGAATATTTATGTCCCAGTGCCATGTCTATAAAATTATCAGTAGTTTTTCTATTGTCTGTACTTCCTTTCATAAAATGAAAGCTGAGACCTTGAAAAAACCAGTAGCGTTCTGAAGTAAGTCATTGGAGACTTCCTGTGCACATGCTTGCTCTCTAGGAGAGTGCAGAGAAAACTTGGAATTCATTATGAATAAAGAAAAATATGTATTC